ATGTTGGGTAAAATACTAAAAATACATCCCATACCTTGTTAATTGTATAAATATTTATAAATAGCGTTTTAGACAATTTTTTCTTTTTCTTCGTCCGGTCCGACTGCCGAATTTAGGTATTAACGAAAGGTCTCTTGGGCAGCGACTATTTTTACACTCCAGCGATTTTAAATAGAGTAGTTAAGAGACACGTGAAAAACAACAACAATACATCTGCAGTTTATGTAATTTTTAACCCAACAATAGTAGTTTAACAATATTTTGTCTTTTTTAAGGCATATACGCTACAGATCAGAAAGTATGAAACCGAAAAATATAATCTTATCCAACAGCAGTATAATGAAAAGCACTTCTGAATGTATTTGTACGTATACTCATATAAACTATACCCACCAATTAACGAAAATATTCGAAAATAATAAAAATACATTAATATATAATAGTTTCTTTCTTGTATATGGAAGCACATTATGCTAATATAATAGTGAATTGACAAACAATGATTTACAAGTATAACGAAGTGCTTTTATTGAAACATGTTACATGTTCCCTAAAATAAAAACACTTCATTATGCTAATATAATAGTGAATTGACAAACAATGATTTACAAGTATAACGAAGTGCTTTTATTGAAACATGTTACATATTCCCTAAAATAAAAACACTTCAATATGCTAATATAATAGTGAATTGACAAACAATGATTTACAAGTATAATGAAGTGCTTTTATTGAAACATGTTACATGTTTCCCAAAATAAAAACACTTCATTATGTTTATAAATCGTTTTTTTTGTCAATTTACTATAAAATGGTTTTAATCTCAAAAAACATGATTCACAAAGGTGAACTTTGTTTCAGTTTAACTCTGGTTTCACATTTTCAATTAGTAAAGCTACTTTATTTCTTCTTGTCTAAATGTTCTTTAATATTTACACCAACTTAGGGTTATTTCTGTATTCTTTAAAAATGACCTCACAACTCCAGCTTGTACTACAATATTATAGATTTTTACTGTATTATTATTATTATTAGTTTGTAGAAAGATTGAAGTTATATCTGTAATAATGATTAATCTTTCAAGTTGGCTATTCGTGTTGTTGTGATAAGAAGCTATAAACAGTAAATATAGCTCGTGACTTTCTGTATGTTGGAAGGATATATACAGCTATAACTGTATGATTAATGAAACTATGCATATAACTGTAAATATATTTATTATGGTAAAACGAATGGAAATGTAGGCATTAATTAAATAGTCTCCTTAGCATTTTATAGCTGTAGGAATTTTAAGAATGCCACAAGTTTCTGTAAATTTAATTTTTTTTCTCATCAATAAAACACTATGTTCGAATCTTTTCTCTTCTCAAATTTTACGTCAAAGATTTTGGTTTCAGTATTTTATAACATGAATGATGTGATAGAAGTCATTAAACAATAAGAAATGGAAACCATCTTTTTTGCTTCAGATCACAGGACCTAAAAGTATGTAAATATTTTGTGGATCTGGTGATGTCATTTTCTTGTAGCACGTGACTTCCACGTAAGCCTTTAAGGATTCCTCAGTGTCATCATTCACGACTGTCATCATTAGTAGGACGAATTGCTTCATGTTCTCCTGCGTAGTCGATTATACGAATAGTTTCTTTGACACTTTATATTGGAGTGCGATGATTGCGTATATGCTTTACATGTACAGAAACGAGGCACTTTGAACTGCCATGGTATAAGATTGATCAGACGATTCGGCCTCATAGTATGGATTGAAGCTGCAACCTGACGGCATTGAATAATAAAATTTTCTTTTATGAAATACAGAAAAGAATATATTAAGCACAGATGGCATCGTTCCTAAGATACAGTGAAGACTCATGTAAAGATAATATTCAAAGGTTTTTTTCCTGAAAACATAAAGCACCTTACCAGTATCTTGTTGTTTTTAAGTTATGTTTGCAACTACTAGAATAATTGACCTTAATGATATTATAGCAGCGCATCCAAGGGAGGTCAAGGGGGCCAGACCCCAATTTTACAACCCAAAAAAACAAAGGAAAAAATAAAATAGAAATAAAGAGAAAGTAAAGATGTACCTATCATATTATGATGCTTGAAAAACAAAGGTACAAAAATCATATCCCTATTGATCTGTAATATTAGTTATTATAAAATCATATTAAAATTGTATCTAAACACATAAGTAATATTCGCAGTTTAAAACATGGCTGTAGAAGGAAGCTAATAAATCAATATTATATCATTTAAGATTAGACCTAGTAGTAATTATTATTCGTGTAGATTATTCCTGTATTTATAAGGAAGGTTAATTTGTTAGATATTTGAGCCTTGATATTTTCTTTTGAATATCATGGTATTTTATTTCGCTAATTGGGAATTGCTGCTTTTATAATCCTTTAAACTTATTCTTAAAATGCATTCTATTCAATGATAGAATGTGAATAAGCCTTTACATATACACTGTTAAACTCAGAATAGGCCTGCTTTTATAAATTGAAGAAAAACACGTATAATGTCATCCCAATGGATCCTTATGATAAACATTTGTAGGAAGTTTGAGTTGCTTTACAAAATGAATTGAGTTAACGAACTTAGCTGAGTCTGCCAAAGGCAAAGTCAGATATAATTAAATTTGTTTCGTTTTTTGCCGTCTAAATCTTGTTGAGTGCACTAGTAAAGATATCACAAATGACTGTGTTGGTTCTTTCTCATATCCATTAAAATAAAGCCCATGTTCACGATGGTAGCAGAAAGTATTGGTCATTAAGACTTCTTATTGTTAATTTGCAGATAGGAGTGACCGGTACAAATCGATGAAAAGCGCCAAAAATTGCTCTTAGCGATATCTTAAATTTCAAAAAGTCTTCAGCTTCTGAGAGGGGGGAAACGCTAATTTTTGACAAAAATAGTTATTTCAGAACTAAACCATAGCTGTTTGTCATATACTTATTAATTTCAAAAATGAGTAATACCCATTTGAAATTCAAATTTGTCAGAATTGTTTCGCAAGCGTTAATAGAATCATGCTTATTTTACTTAATAAAATTCCGTGTGTACCAGTAATCATTTCCTAAAAGTCATCATGCTTATTTTACTTAATGAAATTTCGTGTGTATCAGTAATCATTTCCTAAAAGTCATCATGCTTATTTTACTTAATGAAATTTCGTGTGTACCAGTAATCATTTCCTA